TTTTTTTCATCGCAGTTTCGAATACAAATTTTTCCATCAATTTTACTAATTGTGTGTCACAAATGTATCTTTGACTGAGTCACCTTAAATTACGCTCTTGCCGGTTTAAACTGTAAATTGCATGTCTAATAAGCTTCGAATAAGCTCATTATCGTCTGCAATTATATTTCAAGGAAGCTAGTTGCTGATGTGGCGAAAAAACGCACATGAGCTTTCTTGAAAATTATCATAAATGACGGTGATTCGCACATATTGGTGGACGTCTTGAAATGATATGTACACATTTACTTTTCGTATATCTTCCTGTGTGCAACACAAAAGTGTAGATAGCCATTAATTACCTGCACTTTACTAACAATCAACTAGCGACAATTCGGCTACAAATAAAAATACGAAGTGTTGCAAATAAGCGAAAAATTGCAAAGTAAATCCTTGCAAATTGATAAAATTAAGCCAAAAGTGTATCAAGTAGAAATATGCATTTAAAATCTATCGATTCCAGAAAAATATATTTTTACACGTTGCCTCTCGTAATGTCATCAATTCTAATTGAATTTAGGTTAATCATACACAAACTTATTGAGAACACGGTTTATTCAAGCAAATTTAAACAATTTAATTGAAAAAATTTACTTGCCCATCATCGTCTTTAATTGATGCGTAAATCTCAAATATTCTAATTGGCTGTCGTCGTAACGTCGCGATACGAAACTGATAGTGAAAAGTCGTCGAGGGGTCGATTAAATTCGCATTACGCTCACCCCTACGTGGATAGACGTAGGAGGCATAAAGTGGCTAGAGCGAGTTTCTTCGAGCATTCGAGGGCGCTACTCCCTTTCTCCGTAGTTCCTAACTCACGACGACTAACGTCTACTACTCGTTCCCTTAACCGCTAATTAGCGCGGGACACGCACAGCCCCACGGCGGCTCGTGTCGGGCACGTGTCATGCCGGAAACTCGCTTAGCGCGCGACAAACAGACCGTTTCCCATCGTATATGCGCTCCTTCCGGTCGTTTCCACGCGGAGAAAACGTGGTGGCGGCAGCTGATTAAATCGCCATTAAAACGTGTCCCTATCGCTTCCGATCGACGCTTCCTTTTATGTCCCGCTTTCGTTACGGGTTAGTTCGCTTAAGAAAAACCGGGTTGTGGGACCCGCAATTTGTACCGAGGTTGGTCAGTTAACGCCGCTCTCTTTCGAAGAGGCTTCCCTTCAGTTGAAAATATTTTCGACAAATACTTGACAAAAATGTGTAGATACATTTTATAGATTATTGTTCGCGCAGAAACGACACGTTAGATATCTAGACTGTGCGTAGACATAGAATATTTTATTATAGTTTGCGTGCAGCATAGAATACTTTATTATAGTTTACGCATAGAAAGTTTTATTATAGTTTACGCACGAATGACCAGCTCTGCCCTCAACGTTGTGAATTATTCATCGAATTAATATAATCTTGCGTTGCATTCGCAAAGATTTGATTTTTACGCAGCGCTAAATTTCACGTAAACATGTCGAATCAGTGTTGCCATTTTATTCTATGTTACAAAATGTGACGTGGACCCGAATTATCTCATTTTGCTTATCAATGTCGTCAATTTGGGAAATGTAAATGTAAAATGTTATATTTAAGATATAATATATATCTTTGAATATATACATGTTCCCATAATTACAATTTAATGGGAAAATTAACCGTGCAACTGTAATTTTGCGGTAGTTACGTTGATGACGGCTACAAACAAATTTCGCTATTTGTTGTGGCGAGCAAATATCTGCTTCGGGCGATTCTGGCGAAAGGAAGAAAAATAACCGTTTGTATGTGCGTGACGAGACACGATTTCCATACGAAACAGCCTGATGATCTGCCGATATATTTATTGTGGGCAATGTGCGTGTTTGTTTGGGTCTCTCGCGGCACACAAACCTCGAATGAATCAAATCCGAAGCTAATCTGATTGCATGCCAATCCATTTTTTCTGGTTTATATTGTAAAAAACAGATAATTGTCGTCGCCATCGGCGAAAATTGAAACAACAAAAAATGTTTTCACGATGGCGCCGTTCAGTGTTTATATGTTAACAGGTGATGTTCTTCTTATCATTCGCAGCAGTATTTGTGTGTCAAGCAGTAATATTGAAATTAAATAATATGCTAATGACTCTTCTTAACGAAAAAAGAGTAAAGTATAAACGTTGTAAGATAAAAGATTTTTTTTTTTTTTTTTGAGATTTATTAAGCAGAAGAAGCTTTATATTAAGGAAACGTACAGCTAGCGGGAAAAGCTAGAGATTTATGCTACTATTTATATTTCATTTCACCATTCTCTATTTAAAGTGCACGATGGCGCGATATCGATTCTCGACATCGCGTATACGTCCTCTGCGTGATTCTTTTATATGCGAAAAGGGTCAGCCGCAAAGAGACGTGGGTGTGACATTCGTGGGGACACCCTATTGAAGATGCACCGCGTTTAAATGCGTGCGTCGATATAAAGGTGCGGTCACAAAGTGCGATATCTCTCTGTTTTGAATCGCATGAATACGCATTACAACGCAATCTCATTTACGGAGTAATACGCATCAAGCAAATGCAATTTTTTGCAACTCGCACTCCGCGAATTATGCACGAGGCTTATTACGCTTAATGACTCGAGCAATATTAACGATGAAGTATTAATTAAGAAAGTTGCGATTTACAATATGTTTGGTAAGATTACTCGATGTTTGCAAGCATTTTGATTCATTGAAATATTTGTGAAATATTTTTCATTGTTTTATAATAAACATATAATTCGCTAAAAGTCGTATTGCGAATACGATGATTGATTGGTTTAGTTCTATTTGAATATCATGTCCGTTTTATTTCATAAATTTACGAAAATTATTTTTTACTTCTGCGCGCGATTATTTCCGAAATCTTTGAGAGGCTGACAAGGCTTATTTAAATATTAATAAAATAAGATAAATGTATTTTGTACGCGTAAAATTATGGAGACTCACATTTTCCCAAATCTCATTCGTCATTTCTCGACAACTAAAGACCAGATCTTTCCGTTTTTTGTCCCACGGTAACCTGTACTCGAACATTTCGCCGATCACAGAACATCAATGGTCTGAATAATGTACAAAGGGACCTACCGCGATGGCAACAAGACTGCCTTCATAAATAATTCGGAAACTACCCGCCGAAGAGTCGCGCGTCTTTTGTTCCAGGCATCGCGAAGAATAGTATGCGTTTCGAGATGCATGACGAAATATAAAAGAATACCGATGTTAAATTCGGGGTGAGAATGATCAATTTCACGAACACAGTTGTAGCAATTAAAATTATATAATTTCGAATTATTTCTATGATTTGTTTTCAAACACTTGCTCGAAAAAATACATCGTTATCGGGCGCATTGACGATAAAGAATGTAATATCGGGAATCGGTTATTTCAATCGTTTGACGTATGCCCTGTTATTGAGACTATTTTTAACCATTTCGCTTTGCATCTTCCGTTTGGGTATAGAGACTAAAGACAGAGCTCGTTACCAACAATTGTAACTATCGATCGGTGGTATGTAGCAGCAACATTTGGTCAAAGACCGTGGAGAAAGAAGTTTAAGGGAGAACACGCGACAAGCTGTAATTCAGAAGACAAAACTTGGGCTGCGAGAGTATAGCCGCAACGTAAAAATTAGATATACAAGTAGAGGCTTGTTATCGACAATTGCAATTATCGATGCTCACGCAACGCTCACGTACGCCGAAACTTTGTTATACGGTCGCTCGCCTCGTCCGGTTAGGGCGATATGATTCTCTCTTTAGAGAAAGTGATCGAACAAAAATCGAATCTCATATCTAATAATTTTTACGGCCGTTTAATTAACCAGTTGAGTGATAATGCATCATACATGTATAAAAAAAAGTGCCAAACGTGATAATGTATCATATATGTACATTTTTAAAGAACTCCAATAATTTTCAACAGATTTGCATAAAATTTGGCGTCCTAAGGTTTTTTGGGCTACTGAATTCGATCTGATGTCAAAATTGCAAAATTCAAAATGGCGGATCCAATATGGCGACTGTTAATTGTTTAAATCAATAATTTCCAACATATTCGCATAGTACTTAGTGTACGAAAACTTTTTTGAAATGTCGAAATAAAGAATTCTTTTTTTTACCTCCATCATTAGCTGGTTAAATATTTTAACGACTCCCCACATTTTGGTTTACACGATCATAACTTTTGACTGGAAGGTCGTAGTAAACATTTTCAAAAATCATTGTTCTCGTCTTGAAAAACCTTTTCAAATGAGTTTCCACTCGACCCATAGTGCCATTAATATTTTCCACCCCTATTCTATCCCCCCCCCTCCAAGGCGTAGAGGACAATCCACATCCATTCCGAAAAGTAGCTTTTTCGAAAACTTTTTGAACCCGTGTTTCATCACTTTTCGATATTTAACTTTTGACTTACCACTTTTGGCACAAAACCTTCGGAAAAGTCTACCACTGAAGTGGTTAAATAAACGTTGAGGTTAAGTTATACGGTAGATATATTTCTCTTGATAATATAAATTATAACATTGACTTGCCAAATATTAATGCATGCAACGATGACTTTTTTCCTGCTTTCTGCGCATATGTAAATGTACACGACATTGTGGAAAGCGACGTAATACATTTATGAAGTAGCGCACAAGTGTACGCTAGGATTTTTATAAATTTATTCTTATCGATGCGCAAGCGACGAAACAAGAATGTGTTCTCGCAATAAAATACTATATGCGAATATTTTAATAAATAAGTAAATAGATTAATCTATTATTTCATTTCAGATTTACAAGATTTTTATATCTCGTATTTCAATAATGAAACTAATAATGGAAATATTTCATCAATATTTCAATGAAAAATAAAACGCTTGCGAATAAAATTTTAATAACCAAAGTAACGCGCATAAATTGATCAACACATCGATAAATTCAACTGTAAAAAACTCACCGGTGTGAATGTAGGTATGTTTCTTCATGTCCGACTTCTGATGAAACCTTTTGCCACAATATTGACAGGGATAGGGCCTCGTGTCAGAATGGATCAGCAGGTGAGTGCTGAGTGTGCTTGACCGTTTGAAGGCTTTACCGCACTGCTTACACTATTGTGACAAACAAAGCAAGCGGTTTACCTTAATATCTTGTCTGTTTAGCAAAGATACATATTTGAGAGATACCCAATAATTTTTGCAAGTGTTTGCAAACCAACTAAACGTACAGAGCGTTGAGAGCTCGACTTACACATATTTTGTTGGAATTTAGATCGCTCTATAAAAATAATATTGATAGAATATTTATGTTAAATCGCGTATTTCAAAGTAAGTTTTTATAGATTTCCATTATGCTATTAATAGGAATTTCCTTTGCTGACAAATCACTATCGTCTAACTGTTGAGCCGCTAAGTAGCTAATTTATCAATTTCTTCTGGACAGCTCATGTCTCCGTGCATCGCACGCGATATTGATTGCGTCCCTCTCAAGAAAAATTTTTTTCTGCAGTTATACCTTCGCGACCTTGCGATCGCAGAATCTGCATATCGTACTGTTCGCATCACATTGCATGCTAATAATTATTTCAGAATTTATTAATAAACTGCATCGACAATTATTTTAATTATCGTATCAATTTTAAACTAAGGACAACATTTACTACATTCTACATATTATACTCGGGACAAATGAGTGAAACTCAACATATCGCGTAATAATAAATTAGAGCTCTATCTTCTTTCAAGTCCGCTTACGGAACTTGTATTCTCTCTTATAGTTATAATAATTATTGTAATCGCCGTAAAACACACTACATTCGAAGTCTTCGCGGCACGACTTCTCCAACGCCATAAAGTCTTTCACTTTCCAACCGCGCGGACGCGCAAGAAGGGAATAAAAGCGGACGATTGAGGGAGACGGAAGGCGTTCGCTCCTGGGCGCCGGGACGCCAGGCGCACCTGTGTTCACAGAGCGTCGCGTGTATCTCCTTCTCTCTCCTTCTCGCTCTTCTCTCTCTTCTGGTTCATTGTCACACGGGCGCCAGTCGTCACAATGCCCCGGCGGTGCGGTTCGATGCGTGTCCCGGCTGACAATATATATGGCATATGAATATGCCAACCGCGGAATATTATCGCGCGCGCGCGCGCCCGCGCGCGGCTACGCGAGTGCAAGTACGCATGATTCATGCTGCGCTGCGATCAATATGGGAAAGAAGCGACCTATCTTCACGCGACACTCGACTCCTTTGGCAAAACCCGCCGCGTGCGAATCTCAATTTGCATTGCACGGAATGTTGACGAGATCGAAGGTGTGTGATCGATGGATGACTGTGTTGGCCACTCGCGATTACGAGGTTTCTTTCCAGTGAGAAGCACAGGTTGGCGCAAGTCGATTTCTAGGACGGTTTTTATCGCGACGTTATATTCAAATCGTCTATAGTATGGATTTCAAAATGGCAACACAGATTAAATAAGAAATGATCGAACGATGAAATAGGTTATAATTGTCAAATAAGCCATCTTTATTCGCGATTCTGAATTGAAAACTGCGCTCAAAATAATTTCAATATGAAATTGGATTGTATAAAAAAATTTGTGTTTTTCGCTAGAAAATACTCATAATATCGTAACTGCTCTTCTGCGAAATTGTCAACGTTGCAAACGCAGTACTTAACAGGTGATTAAAATTACTTTTCGTTGCTAAATGTGTAAAAATATATTTGAGGAAAATAATTTTGAATGCTAAAACTCGAATTTAACTTTATGCCACTTCAACACGCGATTCAACTATTTTAATATATAAAGATTTCAAATTTTTTTTTTTTTTGTTATTGTATACACGCACCAGACATTCCGGCCAACGGCTGGACACGTACACGCAACGTAAAAATTCCGGATGGGGCAAGACAAAGCAATATATTCAAAGCCCTACCACTTAACTGTAATTAAAGCAACATAATCTACGCCGTATTACGCCGGTCACGACAATAACGACTCCGCACAACAGTTGCCACCCTTAATCGCCCCCGTCATCCATCTGGCAAGATGCTCCCGAAACGGCTAACGGTGAGACATCGTCCCGCTCGCGAATTCGATGGAAAAGAAAGCGCAGGGGTGGGGTTTTCGTTAATAAGCACCGCCGGAACGCCTGTTAAAGAATCGCGAAAGAAACGACGGATTGTGGGAAGGAAGGCGAAACGATGACGCGGAAACGACGAGGCGGCCCCGCCATTGTCGCCGCACGAAAGCGTCTGCTTCCGGTACGGCTCGGGAAACAAAGCCGCGACAGAGTCCGAGCCGGCCTCGTCCTCTCGGCCTTACAGTTTTCTGCACTCCTCGCGAGTGCATCTCCTCGCGGCACTCGAAATCGTGTAATTACCGTTAATCATTCGCGCCGCTCTTTTGTCCAGCCCTTTTTCTCCCGCGCGATCGCCGTTGGAAACATCTGTCGGACGTCGTCGACGACGAAGGCGCGAATTAAATAAAGGAGGCTACGGCTTTCCCACAGATCGAGAAATGTAGCAAAAGACCGGAACATCGCGAAACTGTCGCGATAATTGCCCGAGAAAAATAGCCTTCTGCCTACCACAATCCTAGTTTCTTAGCAGGATAAAGTTTTCAACCGCAACGGTCTTTACATTTAAAACTTGGGAAGTGACTTGACGAAAAGCGCTGATAAACGGCAAAAGTGACGTACAGCAAGAAGATATAAACTGCTCTACGATATGTTTAGAAATAAGTCCGAAAATCCAATTATCCTTTAATTTCAAGGCTGATAATTCTTGTCATTGCAAAACACTAATTCTATTCCGAAATCATAATTCAAAGTTAAGTAGTTAGTGAAAGATCGATAAATTGAAACGATTAAGAGCCGAGTATCGAGAGTTTAATGTCATTGCTGCGCCAAAATCTCGCGCTCGGGCGCCGCGTGTGCGCGCGCGTGCGCTTACGTGTGTGCGCGGCCCACATATCCTAATATGTCGGCGGGTTACGTGTTGCGGACGTCATGTAAAACCACGGCGAGGTGAGTTTCTCTACCTACATTCAATCACGCGTAATTGCTGCGCGGTCTCTCGTCGCGGTCCGATATTCGTCACAAACGTTTGACCCGTTTTTTCGCCCCGGCGCACTTAAGGGTACTTACGCGCCCCGAAGAAATTCGTATCGCGTGACACTCGCCGGCGCGACTCTTCTCTTTTTTTTCTGCAACGGAGATCGACCGGTTTTCACTCGATACGTATGTAAAAGCTCGCGCGCGCCTCTCGAGGAAATGTCGCGCGACGCGATAAAGTCGAAGCGTACAACGACTCGCCCGTCTGGATTGCTTCGTTATGTTAATTACGCCGCGCTTGTAACAGATGCGCAACGGCTAATGACGATGTCTCATTTGATGACGTTCCTTTTAAAGCAGCTGCACCGAAAATGATACCGCACGATGGCATCTCTTTTGACGAGCCATCGAAATTTTGTAGTTTCTTCTCTTATCTAAAGAATGCGGCATCGTTTATTTGCTTAGATATGTTGTGATATTAGTTAAATCGGCTGTTAAGCGATTTAAATACGTGATTACGAATCGCGAGACATAAATGTGCTTGGATATTGCTGCTTACTGTAATATATACGGCATCGGTTAAATCAGTTGCTCTCGCGGTGACTTAAAATTGCGACTACGAATCGCCGTCGTGAAACGTGAATGTGGCTGGAAGATAAATAGATCGCATAATGCGCGCGGTAGTTGACTTTCGCCTGAATAAACCCCTTCCTTTGTTTGTGGTAAATATGCATGGCTCGAAGAAAAATATCGATTTTCAAGAAAATCAACGTGACCTGGCCATCAGATTGGCGAGAAGCATTTTCCCGCCTGGCTCGTAAAAAAAACTGCGTTCCACATATCGATCATCGGCGACCTTTTTCGAAAGCTGTCACGTTCTGAGAAGCTCCGCTCGTAAACTATTAATCCGGCCAAGAATAATGTTCTTCTGTCTTCGCTTATAGAAGAATTACTACTAGGCAACTTATCTACGAAGCATTGATTGAAAATACGATTGATAAAACGAATTCTGTTCTGAGTATTTCTATTTAATCTTTAAAGAAAAACTTGGCGTCATATTTCTTTTAGATATTCACAATTTACAGTATCTGTATAATTCCAATTGTATTAGATTATAAAAAATTAACTAAACAGGCCGCGTCAAAGCTTTAAATCGAGGAGAGAATAGAAAAGAGGGTTGCTAAAACGAGACCAATGATTATCATTAAGTATGCGTTAATGCCGATAATGTATTATTCGATCAGTTGAAAGAAACCACGGAAATCGAAGTTTTTTCACGAGCTCGGAACATGGCTGACAATAAAAGTCAAATGTTTGTTAATCTCGTAAGATCGACATTGTATACATTATGTAAATTTGCAATACGCACGTTCATAACTTTGCGAGTTTCTTGCTGATGGATTGCTTACTTCGAAAACCTATCGATCGCTTTTCGCGACAACGAGACTCGCAATGACACTCTAACGTGAGAATCACATCGATGAAAATTTGTCTTTACAGCGTAACAGGATTCTTTCGACGCTACGCGCGAAAAATTAAATTAACGATATGTTGAGTTTCCTTCTTTTTTTCCCAAATCGACTAAGCTAACGCGAGAGATAAAATTTTTTTCGAAGCGCACTCGATAGCAGTTTTCTTTAAAGAATGTTATTTTAATTAATACACAATATTAAAAATCGCGATAAATTAAGTCGCTTTGATTATCCTAGATATTATTTAGCACAAAGCGAGCACGGAGTAACGAGCCATCCGTTCTCGGAATAAACAACTTTAGCGGATCAAAGTTTTGTAAAAACAGGACAAAGCGAATGAGGGTAAAGACGCGATATATTAACACTCACTTGAAAGGTCCTTTCCGTCGAGGAGGGCGGTGTAAGCGGCGAATGATGAATTTGCCGCGTAATTATAGGAGTCGAGGATGGACTCCTGGAGGAAGGTGCTCTCGTTTCCCTGGCCTCTCTCTCGCACACCGAACCCGGCGACCAGATTTCACTTTTCCTGTTGCCGATACTCGACGAAATGTCGCTCGGCTTCGTGCTGAGATTCAATGGCACCTCTTCTTCTGAAACGAGAAATCGTCCGTCCATTCCGTCATCCAAAGCGCTCGTCAATTCTCGCACAACCATAAATTTAGCTAAATACTTTGTTTAACATTGTATAAATTTATCGTTTATTTACAATAATGCGAAAGCGTGAAATTTCTGAAAAAAATATATATATGCAGATAGAAGATAGAAATTAATTGCTAGTAATTAGTATCCGCGTGGCAAAGTCGAGCGACAGCGATAAATGATGCCTCGTGTGACAACGCCGGCCGATCGATAGCACCCACTTACCGATAATTGCTCGTTAGCCGATCTATTTTTTCAAAGGGACACTTTGAAACGCTTTAAAAAAAAACCACCGAGAAACTAGACAAAGAGAAACCTTCGTCAAAGTTATCGTTTACTCATCGTTATTAAACAAAAAGTGCTCCATTATTCAACCAACACACTCGTGTATTTCTGCATTTATTGAAATCACATAACCATAATAATGTCAATATGCGAACGCTGGAGATTGTTTTGAGAAAAAAATTCGGATAAAATCTCTCACCGAACTTGGCTTTCTCCGGCGTGCATCTTCGCGGTGATCCGGGACGCGCCGGACTGAGAGGTTCCGGATGAATGGGCGAACAATTCGAAACTGGTGTCGTTTGTTGGGACAGGATTCTTGACGATGGGAGCAGAGAATGTGGCAGCAGCAGGCCCATGTGACGGGCCCACCAAGCGCTCCCAGATGCTCCGTAGCCACCGTACATTAAGCCGCAGCGCATGTCTGGTGGAATAAAGATAATCGTGTTGAGCACAATTTGCGATAACAGTCGTTGGATTTGTAAACTGCTTTGAGATTATGTCATCATAATTTTAAGATTAGGCGAAATGTAAACATAATCAACCTCGCGGCTTCGCGATAGAGAGACGAATATATCTAAAATTTCTTTCTCTCATTCGCGCCGCGCATTCCGTAATTCTATCTTCCGTTCCTTCGTCGCTTTCGGCAAATTCGCAAATCTCGGCGTGACTTACCTCGCGCGGCAATGCTACCGCTCAGCGGTAGATTTTGCAATCTCAGATCGGGGTTGTAATTTGAAACGAGGGTGAAGGCGCTGAAGCGATCGGGAACGGGTTGACAAAGGCCTGAAGGTGCATTGGCGGAGGCGATGGTGCTTGAACTGCTTCCCGGTACACCTGGGCTCCAAGGCGAAGATGGTAGCGTGATTACGCTTGGGCTGCCGGGTGGCGAGAGGGTGGCCGGGGGTGACAAAGCGCCCACCGGAACTCCCACGGGATTGCAGTGAAGTTCCGGTTTCATGTGCCAAGTTCGAGGTACCGCTTCTATTACGAGAGCATAAAAGGCACGATTTATTATTCATATAACGAACACACGAAAATAAATCGTAAACGCAACAATCGCGCAAAATCATTCAAATAACCGAAATTTTCTCGCGATTTTTTCAAATATTTATTAATACGTGTATAATATTAATTTAGCCAAAAATTATTAAGAAAGCAGTAAAGTCAAGTATTGTATAAATATTTATCGATTAAAATTATGTAGATAAACAACAAAAATTTAAATAGAGAATTATTAAAGCAAAATAGCTGTTTTGTTATCGTTAAAAGAATCTTTTGGGATTATTTAATTATTTCGTATGATATTGATTTTTAAAATATTTCTGAAAAATTTGATATAATAAATCTTACACAAATATAGGGAATATTATTTTTATGATTTCTGACAATTATATTTAGCTATTTGTAATATCTACTTTACGTTCCATTATCTAGATTAATATTTTGAATTTACACGCAGCGTTTGTCAGTCGTTCTCTCTTCGTACCATTTAACGTCAAAAATTATCGCGAAATCTCTACAAGATAAATAAACCAGAAAAACGTTAATTGCAAGCTACATTCCGCTCGAAAACATACGTAGAAACACGTGCACATTCCGTGAACGTATTTATCATATACATGAAACATATCCGTTAACAGAGAAATACATGAAGATGAATAATACATGGAGCCTTAGAGCGGGTTCTTTCGTGACGCGTAAAATCTGATTGACGCCGATTAGGAACAACTCGATCGAAGTTTCGTCGATCGCGTAAACGAAGAATATTTTGCGATCGAAATCACGAGGCTGTAAAAATATGTACGCAATAAAATCTGTTTCGAATTTTGGCGCTAATTAACCTTACGTTATTTTTATTATTTAAGCTAAAATATTTTGCTAAAATAATAATGCTGAACATCTTGAAATATCATTTTATTAGGACAAAATATCAAACAAGAAAAATGTATTATTTATTTAGTAAAATAACGCATATTCAATATTTTTTTATTCATGCCAATTTAAAAGTTGATTGAGTGCCAAGTGATATAAGATAATTATGGTATACATTTCGGAATCAAAATCAAGAAAATCGTTGCTCGCAGAAAGTGCATATTGAGCTGCGCGATACGAATAGTGTCGAGAGATTCCTAAATTATGCGCTCATCATATTTCATGCTAATCTCTATCCTTGTGCGCTCGATAATAGAGAACAGAAATACCGGCGATTATAAACTGAATATTTTTTTTATAACAGTCACCCAGTCGAGGTTATTTAAACTGTCGCTGCTTTCCATATCGCGCGGCGATCTCTCGCACTGATGAATACAGGATGTTTATGTTCGCTGCGTTTAACGCGTGCATGTCGGCGTTTAATGCGTTGTCGGCGGTCGTCGCCGCGGTTTCACGTGTATCAGATTCGCGGCGGAATAAAAAAAGAGCGCGGAAGGGCAGACGGGGAGAAAGAAATCACAAATGGCCGGCCGGGCCGGTTGTCGGCCGGCGAAATGAATTATAAATCGTGCGTGCGCGACCCGGCAGTGAGCAGACGGACAGATCAGGAGACGAGATTCTAATCGCGCGAGGTCGGACAGACGTGATTGCTCGACACAGCTTTGCTTGCCGACGAGCTACGATAAAATATCTTTCCCCCTTCATCGTCTCCCCTGGCGCGAACTCGACGTGACAGGCTCTCGAAAATGAGCGCCGATTAATGATCGAGTCAGCTCGCATAGCGACAATTGTGCAAGTGGCTTTTGTACATCTTTTAGTGACGTAGAGTTCTCTGGAAATTTTGTAAATAGGCTCGGGATATTTCAAGGAAGAATTTTAAATTAGCCGCGGCACTGATAAACTTTGTGTACGCAATGCATTTTCTAGAAAAAGTCTGAGCATTATATTTTGTTAAATACAGAGTCTTCGAATTTAAATCTTGCACGACGCGTTACATACGTTTTCTCAATTTATTTTTGGATAAATATCTTTTAATTCTAATACGAAATATAAAAGTAAAGGAGCAAGAATATTTATTAGATTCCTTAAATTTGCAGGAAATTTTGACAAAGAGAAATTTCTTAACAAAATATAAAAATGGATAATAATTAATATACATTAACTGTAATGGAATATAAGTTTAACTCTTTGTCAGGTAATTTTTAAACCGCGAGAATGCACGGACAGAAATAGTATAACGATTTTGCGTGAAACAACGATGAGTAGGAAAGCGTTGATAACCTGCGAAGTAAATCACTGGCTTGAAGGTTCCACCGCGTTGATAAGAATCACGGGCATAAACTACAACTATTAACCGCTGCTCGTTGTTTGAATAAATCTGTAATGCGTTCGTACGAGTCGCATTCCTACATAATTCATGCGCAGACGTGCCGGCAGCGAGAATTTGTTACTCATTTCCATAGATAACGGCGCACAATGCAATTTTCTGCCAATCGCCGAAGGATGCTTATTGCGAGTGAGTTATTGTTTGCTTTTAGGCAAACGAATTAAAAAAAAAATATGTACATTGCAATATGTATAATAATTATAAGAAAGAAAAACATTCAGCTGATGAAAACTGTAATTTTTTTATTTGGGTAACGCGTTAAATTCGATACAAAGAAAAGAAATGAGAAATAGAAGATAATAAATCAACTAAAGCAATCTTTGTATTGAATTTATGATAAAAAAAGTAATAAGTTACAAATAAAGATTAAATAGATGATTTAGCGCAGGTTCAAGAAAAAAGTTCGGGAAAAAATCAAAATTTCAACCGTACGAAAATAAAGCTATTAGTATTACAGAATCTTTCCTTTTTGTAATGCGCCACGAAATGTCTTTTTTTAGTAATTGAAACCCAAATAAAATTTTAGATTTATCTTGCTACTATTCTTATTCTCGTCTTTTATGATACTTTAAAAGCTTTAACACATTTGAATAGCTCACAAAGAATTACTTAAAAAATAGTTTTATATTTGACATAGAAAGAAGAGATGTGAAAGTGTGGAAAATGCAGTATTTTCGTGATCTACTTTTTCAAATAGGAGAAACTAGTTTCACTGCTGGGTCACTCTTATATGTGACTGCTAAAAATTAAAATTATTCTCATGCTGTTTTGAAAAATTCCACTTATTTTTCGATTTTTTTGGTAAATATTTTAGCAAAATCGTCGTTCAATAAAATTTTTTCCAATTAATTTACTAAAACTCACTGCATATGAGTGTGGCATTTAGAAATATGTGAGAAAACGGGAAAACATTGAATAATATTTCAAATAGGTCACTATTTTAATAGGAAATCGTCAATAATTTGTGTTGACATTCGATCAGACAGATATATTTTGACAAGTGGAGCCAATTTGGTGATATATTACTTCTGCGTTGTTATTGACCATGCATCATATCGTCCACGAAAAAGAGCTATGTCCTGTTTGTTGAACGCGTGAGAATAAAAATCATAAGCGTCGCGCAACGATTTCCTGCTATTAATTTTGCGTGTGCTGCAATGACAGTTGATGAAGTATGAATATAATGCCAAACGAAAACATCAATAAATTATAAAAAGTTCTCACAATTTCAAAATTCGATAATATGCGAAATGGCCCAAGAGCCTGTGACTAGGTATTTCATATCAACAATTCTTATATTTATAACATTGTTTTTGAAATACATATAGACATTTCGATTGATTATTTTCAGTATATAAATATTATGATATTCTTAATACAATTAATTAACTATATAAAACACAAAAATTGACAATTTTGATAAAAATTGCGATTTCACCGTCAAAAAGTACAGATAATTTAGAACAGCTAGGCACACATGCAACATTATTTTAGTATGAATCGCAAATTGTGCTCAGTTCATGTTTGGAGTTCTTTGAGTAACATGTTAATGTTTTTATCAAAATTGACAATCTACGTTTTATATAGTTAATTGATTGTATTAAGAATTTTTGTATACTGAGGATAGTTGAATCAATGGAATGTCTATGTGTATTTCAAAGACAAAGAATAACAACATTGTATAATTAGTGAATAATTTGCTGCCTCCATTATTGCAATTAATTATTAAATTAATTGATTTTATTATAGAAGAAAAAAAGGATAATTCAAATTTAAGAGCAAAAACCAAAGTTTTAAACGTCCAAGAATAGAGCCATCAGCACTTCAGAATAGTCTCAATTTCTTCTGCAATGACAACAATGTTATTGAAAAACGTATTTATTTTCGAGTGATGATATTCAATTATCGTCAAATTTGCGGATGCAACATACATCTTTAAATAGCGAATGCTAACAGATGGTGTTTGTACAACCTTCAATACGCAACAAATTTGAGAGAGAAGTGATAACAAATTGCACGAGCATGTGCGATAATCGGTGCAATAATAAAAATCTTCGATTAATGACGAAGATTGATTGATTCAACGCTTAGCCACTTGTGGAAATATCTGTCGCTTTAACGGATTCAGTGCATTAACTACGTCATTTCTTAATGTCACACTTGAGAGTTGACGCGTTCTACATTCACGCTAAGTGAATTCCGAATTAATGAGTCGTTCATTTCATTATCAACGAATTAACAATGGCGGAATGAAATTCTTTCAATCATCAATTAATCGCATTTGACTTGCAATGTTTCCGCGAACGTCTCCAATTCGCGAGTTTCGTAACTTCTGTCTACGGACAACGTGATTGTCATTTCAATGAAGTTTTTCACGTTTATTTTTAACAAATTTCTATCGTACAATGGCGCACGCATCGCGTTATATGAAATGCAAACGATAACAGATAATGGGGATATCCGTCAATCAATGAATCGACTAACAAAACAAGGTTTCAGGAAACAAGGTTTTTCTCACGAGCGGCTGAGTATTTGCTCGTTAATCACAAAAGTGTACTGCCATCGTTCATATGAAATCTCGAAAAATCATCATGAATATTTACGCGGGGCCTTGATTAAGAGTTGTGTGAACAAGTGTCAGATGTTCTTTCCCCGAGTCTCCTCGAGACAAATTTCTCGGTTAAATTATAAGCGTCTTTGGCTGCATCTTCGAACGGAAAATAGGTGGCCAATTCTTACTTTCAAAAATTGACAAATTTTGGTTCAATAATTTGATACATGAATGTATTGTTTCGTGTATGTTCCTCGTGCATTTTTCAATGCAACGGTTGAGTGTGCCTATGCATTATGCTGTCGATTCGGTGTTTTGAAAATTTACACGTGTTTCTAAGAGTAATATTATCATGTAATTACGTTTAAAATACAACTATTTTAAAGGCGTCGAGCTATGTTATCGGCGTTTCGGCTTATCCACAGTATAATCTTTTCGATTACAATAAATGCGTCGCAAAAATCTTTCATTTGCTTAAGCAAACATTTGTTGCCTCCATAAACGTATTCTAATTTAAATCTAACAGACCTGATAGCAGACACGTGGAGTAAATTAAGTAAATAAGTTTAGTTTTGAATGCACAAAATATGCGAGTATACTAAAATGTTTGATCAACGAATAATGTGTTCGAGTAGCTTCAATATATAACTTTTATATTATAAAATATCCTATATTTAAATATTAAAGAGACAAGTGTTTTATCAACAAGCAAAGTTATAGAACAAATATGTAACCAAATGTTATTTTGAGAAAAGTGTTTTTTTGGGAATTTACAAAATGAGTCAACGCTTCTATCTGCAAAATTATGAAATTGCGATACTGCCGGCCGCGCGAAAAGAACAGAAGCAAAGAATCCGATCGGTTCGTTAGAGCAGATGCGCAAACAATCTGTGTGTTTTTTACCAAAAACTATATAAAGTTTCATTAAGGTCGAAAACGATACATAAGCGTGACGAAACATGCAGATGTGACTTGGAGGCGTACGTTTGTTTTGATAGAAGCACGATGAGCGGCTTGTTGCCTCTTGAATATTCAAGGTAAAATGCTTTATGAAACATCGACGATAAAGTGCATAATCGATATTCAATGAGGAAAACTCGACATCGAATTTTGAAAATTTTTTACACAAATGCAACAAGCATGCTATTTATTAAGTATGATAATGCGAATGAAGACGAGACGCCAAATGCACTTTAAAAAGCGCTTATTAATTACTATTGATGAGTTAATAATTATTAACGAATGCCTTTACTTATAGTCGCGAAAACACTCACAAACTTGCAAATGCACCGTTTTACGCGTTGTTTAAAATGTTAAATACACAAATTGTCGGAATATGTTTAAAGAATTAACGAAAAGAAGAGTGTTTTGCACAAAGGCAACTTTGAAAGATAGTAAATGCTCGAAGTAAAATAATGAAGGTACAAATCGGCGAGAAAAATACAAGTGATCACTCTTGACTTTTGATAAGAGCTACGGTTGACAGCGCGGAAAATTACAAAACTCTAAATCGTCACGTCGAATTCATATTTTGCTTCGTCAATAGAAGCATTAATGATTGATATATACAACGTCGCTTATGAATATCGATACTTTCTTGAATGCGTAACATATACATTTATTATCATATTTGTTTCCGTGTTCTATTTTAACCGACAGCAAGACCTAAAATGAGGTGTAAATCTTTGCACAATCAAATTTTTTTTCCAACGTTTGGTACACAATGTAATTCTCTTTCTGCCTACGAAAAAATATGCGTACGTCAAATTGCGACAAATTCATGTATCGCGAGAAAGTCTGCAAATTTCGATATTCATCAAAGTGCTGTGCAGCAGTCAGTTAGCGAACGTTGCGTGTTATCGCGTCAATGTGAACCGGTTTGGCGGTTTTGATCAACAGACATCCGCTCGGTTTTCGGAGGTCCTACATACGGCAAAAAAATCCTGTACTCACCACACATCACGATTAGCTGCCGCGGCGAGAATGATGATCTAAAATTTTACGCCGCTCATAGAGCCGCGCACTATTTTTCCGACCCGCTTCCCGCGCACTGTGCCTGGTACAGATTCAGTTCCGAAATGAAGCACACTAATCTTCTCAGCGAACGTCAAACTTCCGGCACACGTTGTTCTCGCACAGATATTATCGCGGAAGCACGCAGTGTCGGCGAAGTTCGAATGTTCTCTCGGATAATCTTGAGGCTGGTCCCGTTCGTCCGCCGGGCGGAGATCCAGTCTCTTTCCACGGAGAGCCACGTGGTTCACCAAGGTCGACGAGGAAGAAACGTGTAAAACCTTCGGGCCAGGACCGCTCTTTTTGCAGTTGCTTCAGAAGTTTTCCGAGCAACTTCGAGTCGCTTCGGGGAAAAAAAAAAATTCACAAGCGTGCGCTTCTTCGTAGAATGCGTTGATCGGTTGAGCGACTTCTTTCCGACTCGCGTCGCCTGATATATCGCGACGCCGAGGGAGTCGTCCAGTGACGGTCGATCTTCTCAAGCGGACAGGTCGATCACAGGCAGCCCCGTGAACGAAGAAGCTCTCTCTCTCCGAGTGTCCTGACTAAGAGCAGGACCCCGACTGACCCCGCGGTGTGGCCGAGGAGGGCACGCACGGTCTTCTCGCGTGTGCGGAGGAGCGTGTGTGTTGCGTACCGCTCGCACGGCCGTCCGCAGCCTTCCCCTTACCTGCTCTGCCTCTCCTCGCCGGGTTTCACTCTTCTCTCACCTGCGCGTCCTACCTCGTGTGCTACCTGGAGGCCACGCCCATCGGCGCACGACCACGTCGGCGGTGCTCGCGGTGGTGGGGATAGGAAGAGGACGACACGCGCGCGCGTCTTCCCCCGCGCGGGCGCGGAAATCGCACATAGATCGGTGGAAACGTGCACTTATCTAACTCCCACCATCGAGCGCGACAGAGCGCCGGGAGATGCGCTCTAATTGCGGAGCGGCGTCGTCGGTCGCACGGTAGGCGGTTTTCTCCTCGCGGCGGGGAAAGGAGAGGGGCGGGGGGTTTGGTGCTGTGCAGGTGCTGTCCCGTTGTGGGGACGGAATCCCGGGACGAATTTTCAATAGCGGATCAATTGTTCCGCGGTGGGCGACTGGAATTAACGCGCGCGGCGATTATTCCGCGCGGCGTCGTGTACACATTTGCACCTCGTCGGAATGACGCGACCCGTCTTTTCCGCGCGACACGTGCTGTGGATGGATCGTCGGATGGGTAATTAGCGGCCCCGCGACGCCCTGCGCATAAATGATTGACTGCCGCGGCATTGAGCGTTCTTGAATTAAAATTGCACTCGGCTTGTTTTGCAAGTAAAATTCCGCGGTCGCATCTGTTTGACTCGGCGGCGAGCGGCATGTGACAGATTCCGCACGCAGTGGCCGTGTGAGATTAGCTTACATAACGCTCGCTATAGATGTTGGAACGATCGCAATAACCTAATTAGTTGCGATTAATTCTTTGCGGATATAGAGATTTGAGACATCTCGAGATATAGCTAATATAAATAGTAGCAGCGGAGATTTTATTAACAACGATTATTCAGCAATCTCATTGGCGCGCATACCAATTAATTTATCAACTAAATCCAACCTAATCAAGCTTAATTAATTGATCAAAAAATGTGTTTACAATTTTAATCTATTAAACACGTCTGTAGTTTGCCGCGTTTGCTGAATTTCAACAATGCGCTATTTCGAAATTACGTCTTCCCTATTTTTACAACTGCTGCGCTTTTAATTATTCAAAATACATTAATTATTTGTTAGAGTATGCAGCGATCACGCCACTCTTTCTAGCTTATCCAATTGCCTTCCGCCGCTTTATCCGTTTGCGCCCGACGTTTTATTTTCTGCTATCGAAAGCAGCAACGCGTATCGGAAATGCGTGGTCCACGTGGAATCTAAAGTACCATTGCGCGACGTCCATTTTAGCTCGACGCTCGGGTGCGAGACGCGATTTCACGACGCCAATAGGCATCCTCTGGTCGGCGATGCGTGCGCACGAGATATCCGCTGTTAGATTTGATTCGGCAGACCACCTCACGAGAGTAGGAGAGAGCCGAGTGCGACGGCGCCGTCGTTGGGACCGGTCTCTATTGGCTGCTCTTCTAGTGGAGTAAGGGAATATCCGTGGCATCGCACGAATCTCTCTCATCCTAGACGAGCGCAGAAGAGGGGCTTGGCGGTCTCCGCACACAGCCTCGAGAGTTAAATATATCGCGATACTGACGTGACGGCAAAGAGCTGTCAACGCGAGACTGCTGGATCTAGGTCAAGATTGTGCACTTCTTGAAGGCACCGTTTTTACATTTGTGCTTCTTATATAATAGCTAAAGAATTATTGTATCGGGCATCGTCCGCTTTTCTACTTGAAAATTGCTGCAAAAATGTGATCAGTTTGATTACGAATATGCAAGAATGTGAGCAGAAAAGAAATTGAGTTTGAATATTTTACTATAAGACTTTTATTAACTATGATAGGAGATTGTCTTATCATATTCACATTTTTCTTCTTTTTTTAAATATATATTTTTTATTCTTTAGTAAAAATATAACGTTTGCAGTAAATTTTACTTTCATGAAAAATACAGCAATTGCATTAAGCGTTTGTAATGTCAATGGTAGAAATTAAAACGTAAATGATAAGATAACAAGGATAAATGCAGCAATACGGTGATACACGGTATCGCGGAGAACAAAAAATTAGTGTAACGTAACGACCAGGAACGAAATACCAGAGTAAGGTACTTTAATTACTTTACCTCGGCAAAAAGTTCCATAATTGCTGCGCCACTATCTGGGCGCAATTTTGCAAAGTAAAAATATAACGACTTCGAAAAGTAGACTAATTATTTTTGCCACGTTGAGACATTGGACGGCTTACGATTATTTCGCGCGTCGCGCAAATATTTGATACTCACGATTCTTGCTCATTTCAAATCGAATCTCAATTAAATTCCGCAATAAAAATAATGTTTAACAATTTGATGTGCGCGCTTTTAGATGGAAACAAAGCTCGTTTCTAAAGACAGATTTTCTTCATTTTTGCTTTCTCGTCGCGCAGTGTTACATTACGAAGGGTTCAAACTACCACTTTTTTTAACACGCCGTACATTTCTAGTTTGCAACGACGCTTTCGCGTGATACGCGCTATATTTGTCTGACATATAGTCTGAGCATGGCGATTAACATGTTGCACACCTTGCAGAGATAACACTTGCTGATTAGCTTACGGCGAGTTTCCGAAGCGCGGTTAATCACGATCGGCCGGGCGAGTCATCAACTGCGCCAAGGGCTTTCATTAACCGCCGTTATCATCACCTTTGCCTTGTTATGCGCCGGATAAGATAATCCTCTGTAATTTGTAGCGCGAGAACGCACAATATAAAATTGAAAGCGGGGAGACTTGAAATAGATTGCGATCCGTCTGTCGCGAACGGGCTTAAACGTGGCGACTTTTTGTGATAAAGAGCCCTCTTTCAGACTACATCTCTTCCAAAATATATCAATGTAAAATTTAAAAAAGTGACCATTTTGTAAGAAATTTTTATGAATAGGATGCATAAATTTTGCGATCAATTTTAATTTTGGAAAGAAAACGGTCGTAATGAGTTTTGGCCAACTTCGAGGCTTCGATGCGACGATTAAACACTTGCTTCGTGCTTTCATAACACATCTCTTCGTGCAAATGCGAAACTAGCTCCGCCCGTGACATGAATCGTCGCGTAGATCTCAATTGAGAGGCATTCTTCTTCTTCGTCCTATTCTCGATCCACCGCGATGCGCAATAAATGCACAGCGCGCACACAATGCGAACGGAATTAGAATTGCAATGTGTCACTGCTGGAAAACTGGGTAAAACAGCTGCACGAACAATGCGAGCGTCCACTTCCTTTATCCTGCCTCTCCCTGCCCCTCGTTACTTTTTTCTTCTTTTCCTTTCTTGCTGCTCCTAGAAAAATCATTTATGAAAGACGCATCGAGGTGCACGCATGTGTATTCACTTACTATAAATTTTTCGAATTTTCCATCATAGATAATTGTGATAGTTTTACTTATCTCATTGTCAGTTCAATAATAGCTATCGCTAGCTCGTTATTTCTTATCAACTGCAATTTTGGAATCGATAATTCGCAATAGATATATATTAAATAGAAATTGTAATTTCTTCCCGTTCTTTTTTTTTTCTCGAAAGGTCTTTGAATTATTATAGAAAAAAAGAATGCACGTATTGCATAATGCGATTGATAAAGTCGCGATACAGTGCTATTTGTAATAAGACGATAATAACAGAAATTACGATACGCAAGAAGTCTATAATTAGCACTGCGAATAGAGTTACAATAATATTAGGCACCGGAAAAAGTTGGTGCGAATTTTCAGATCCAAATTCAAACACTCTGAATTTTTTTGGAAAGTAATTTTATTTGACAGAGTAATCACCATTTATTTCTACAACCCTTTTCCAGCGTTTTACAAGCTTATACATTCCTTTATTGTAAAAATCTCGAGTTTTACTCGTAAAGAATGAATTAATTGCCGATTTGACTTCAGCATCATTTTTAAAATTGCTATTTGCAAGGAAGTTTGCCATTGATAAAGAAAGGTGGTAGTCAGAAGGAGATAGATCAGGACTGTAAAAAGGATGAGGCAAAACTTCCCTTCCAACATTCTTTATTTTTTGGCGAGTCATGGAAGCAACGTGAGGCCGTGCGTTGTCGTGTAAAAGAAGTACACCTTTTCTGTTCACAAGTGCCGGATGACTTTTTATGTCGAAATGGATTTTATCGATTTCTTCGCAATAAATATCTGCAGTAATTCTTTGGTCACGTGAAAGAAAGTCGACGTGAACAATACCATGCGCAGTTCACCAAACAGTTATTAAGATCTTCGGATGATTCGGTTTCGGTATTTCTGGGTCTGAATCTTGCTCGCACCATTGGCCAGATTGTCGTATATCTTCGTAAAGTACCCATTTTTGTCACAAGTTAAAATTCGATCAATAAACAGATCAATTTCAAACTGTGAGAGTAAGTTATTGCGTATTGTTAGTCTACAGTATTTGTTCTCCTCTGTCAAATAATGCGGTATCCATTTGTCCAATATTTTATGGAAACCAAAACCCTGCTCACACCATTGGCCAGATTGTCGTATATCTTCGTAAAGTACCCATTTTTGTCACAAGTTAAAATTCGATAAACAGATCAATTTCAAACTGTGAGAGTAAGTTATTGCGTATTGTTAGTCTAGTATTAGTTCTAGTTAGTTAGTATTTGTTCTCCTCTGTCAAATAATGCGGTATCCATTTGTCCAATATTTTATGGAAACCAAGTGAGTGCCTTTTTAGTCATAAATTCATTACATTGGAATACTTGTGCGACGTCTGCATATCTTTTTCGTGGGTTTGAACGCATATATTCACGCAGTTCATTATTTTCGACAGACTTTCCGCTTAAATCATTTTTGTACTGTTCTTTCGCTTCAACCAAACATTCTTCACACACACACTACAAATGCGTTTTGCTGCATTTGCTGCTGTATTTTTAAGTTTAAACTCATAGAGCATGAAAGAACGAATTTTTAACTTTTCACCATCCATCTTTAATCTCATATAAACAACGGAATATTGTAATAATTGAAAACTACACATCATGTATACCAA